ACCCAGCTCCCCCGGGGTGCAGGCCCTGTTTCCCGGGGGTGAGGACCCTGCTCCCTGGGGCTATGGACCCCACTTGCCCCTGGCTTACTGGCCAGAGTGCAGTAGGAATGGCTGTCAAGGCAGACTTGTTGCACAGCCTTCGGGGACATGTTCTCTGTGATCGGGGTGCGAGAGCCCCAGCCAGCCGCCAGCGAGGCCTTCGTGAAGTTTGCCGACGCCCACCGCAGCATCGAGAAATTTGGCATCCGCCTGCTGAAAACCATCAAGCCGGTAGGTGAGGTTGAGCATGTGTGGGTCCCGCAGGGGAGGTTGGAGGGGCTGGCACGGGCTGTGGGAAGGTCCTGGGGTGCAGCCAGACACCCGGGACCATAGCTGACCAAGTCCGCTGCCTGCTTCTCCACCTTGGCGTGGGCTCCTGGTCTCTGGCTTCACCTTGAGTCACAGGTCACCCCAGGACTGGCCATGGCCTCCTCATCTTGAACTGGACAGCCTACGTCCCCCAGGAAGGATGATGCTTAAGCCTCGTTCTCTGTCAGCCTGGCCCAGCGGCCTCACGGGTCTTAGCATTTAGGTCTTTTCCTTTCAGATGCTCACAGACCTGAACACGTACCTCAACAAAGCCATCCCAGACACGCGCCTCACCATCAAGAAGTACCTGGACGTGAAGTTCGAATACCTGGTGAGTGGTGTGTGGCCTTTGGGATGGGCTGGGCCCACCCTGAAAGGTTCAGCTCACTCAGGGTGCCCAGGGCCTCGGTCCCATGCCAGGGACGCGGGCTGCAGTGCAGGCCATGCCAGGTGCTCCCAGGAACCTCTGAGAGGCTGAGCACCAGGTGTATGGGACCCTCTGAGCGCTCACTAATTGGTGACTAGATCACTGGTCACCTATACTAGGTGAAGAGGGAAAATTGAGTGCCCAGGGACACCGGTGGGTTTACACTTTTATCACAGTTTTGTAGTCAAAGAAGCTGAGGAAAAGGCTCAGGCAAGCAAGCCCAGGCACCTTTGCTGCAGGCCATGGAACCTTGAAAGTACTGTGCACCGTACACATCTCCACAGGCTTCCAGGTGCCTTTGACCATGGAGCCTCTTTTCTCCAGAAAACTCTGGGGACTTGAGTTTGGCAAATGCTCAGACCTCAGGCCTGCCCACCCTCTCCAATGAGTGGCTTCCTGCTGGCTGCCTCCCCTCCTGGGGCCCAGAGCAGGGCCCAGCCTCTGTGAGGTGTCTGCCCATCCTTCCCGACACAGCTCAGCCTGTCCCAGGGCTGTGTGCAGGGCCAGTAGCCTGGCCTGCTGCTTCTCCTGCCTGTACCCCATGGCCTGGGGTGCAGTATGGGGACTTCAGGGTGGGCATCTGGGAGGCTGCAGCCACTGACTGCCCGGCCTCACCTGTCCACAGTCGTACTGCCTGAAGGTGAAGGAGATGGACGACGAGGAATACAGCTGTGTGGTGAGTGCCGTGCAGGGCATGGACTGTGGCCCGGGCATGGAAGGCTCAGGGTGCATATCCCCTTGCCATCGCCCTACAGAAGCCCCAGAATGTCCTGAGCTGGCCAGGGACCCTGGGTAGTAGAGCCAACCAGCAAGAGGCCTGGGGCTGGGCTAGACGCTTGTCCCTGGGGAGCTGGAGTCTCTACTTCTGCAACCAGTCCTGGTGTGGCTGCTGCTGCCCTCAAGTGCCCTCTGTTGACCCTAAACCGTGGGTGATTGCAGAAAACACCAGCTTACCTCATTCTGCCGAGTGCTAATTCTTTTCTAACATTCTTTATCTCGGGCTGCACCATGTGAACAAATGCTCATTGGCACAATATGGCAGGGGTCTGACGGGTCGTTTTTTTCTCATAATTGCTGATCTCGGAACCTGGGGGCCGGGGCAGCTTTGAGAAGTAGGCGTGGTGCCGGTGTGAGCCTTTGGGTGCCCCCTGCGCCCCTCAGTCCCTGAGCAGGCTCCCTCCCCACTCCAGGCCCTCGGGGAGCCCCTGTACCGAGTGAGCACAGGCAACTACGAGTACCGCCTGATTTTGCGCTGCCGCCAGGAGGCCCGCACGCGCTTCTCCCAGATGCGGAAGGA